GTTTGTCATTATTCTGCACCGGGATTTTTTCAAGTTTTTTTCATACCTTTAAGAAATAATGGGTGTGTCCTTGAAAAGAGATTTAGTGGTAGGGTCTTCATTAAGTATTGTGTAATTGTTTAGTATATTATCTTTGATCTTCTTGTTGGTCTGATGGTATGTTAACACATACGGAATATGATCCGTTCATTATTTCTTAGTAGGGTTGAGTGTTTTCTCCTGGGTTTATGAGCTAGCTTAGGTGGCAGCATCATGGATGATAGAATCAAGGTAGAGCCTTTTAGAAAAACAAGTTTTCACTTTGGATCCAGATTTATAATGATTATCATCAGTATGTAGTTTATATAGTCATAGAAATTTTAAGGAATTGACTTTTGGATACTGTACGAGTGGGAAGATTCGAAATGTATGTTTGTGTGTGAATGGGTTTCTTTGTAACATGTACGAGTGGTCAGATGGTCACCTTATATGTATAGGTTAATGTAGGTATATGTGTGTATGCATTTTTTTGTAATATATACTGGTGGTCAGATGGTCATCTTGTATGTATAGGTTAAAGTAGGTACGTGTGTGAATCGGTTTCTTCGTTATGTATATTATTGGTCAGATGGTCATCTTGTATGTATATGTTAATGTCCAGAAAGGGGAGTGTTGTGTTGGATATTCCAAGTAAATTTCAAAGAGAGGTGGCAAGAGGAAACAAAGTGCAGAAAAGTTTTTAAACCATATTTAGGCATGGATGTAATCCATAAATATAAGATTTTTGGTGTATGCAATAAAGAGGTTTGCAACGGTGGGGACCATTTTAGTCCCCCATAGTGACTCCACAGATCTGTTTGTTGATCTTTCTTGTAGATTTTACCATTTTTTTGTTTAAATTTTATTTGTTTTATCTTTTAATGACTTATTATTTTTATGAAACAGATGTAATTTTGTACAAACATTTCACGTTCAACATTCCAAGTAATACACATGCAATTTCTTTGAATTCTGTGCATGTTGTAAGCTGTATAATCTGATGAAGAGAGCTAGCTCAAAACTTCATTCTTCTTTAAATCAAAATATAAAAACTTGGCAATTGTTCAACCTATTATTTGATTTTGTTAAAACATGTTTACATTCTGGTGTGCACTACAATACTTCTGGACTAGCAATATTACTACTGTAACAAGAGCTCTAATAAGTTTATTCACAACAATGCAACAAACTTGTAGTGAATTTTTTCAGCTCGTGACTACAAACATGTCATCACTGATTATATGCCAAACAAACAAATTCCAGAAAGACATAATTACAGCTACACGTTTTCTTTAATTACTCAACTGTAAAAAGTTTAATTACCTCAATTTTCTCTGATGCTATATCACAATTCAAACCAGTATGTAGAAAACTTTCTTCCAAGGAATCAACTTTTCC